TGATGTTTAACTTGTAGACAAGGAAATCACACTACTGAGAACCTAACCTTTAGTTATAGCAGACCAGTCAGTTTTAGACTCTGGAAACAAAAGATCAAGATACAGCATGTCATAAGGTTTCAGTAAACTCTGATAGAGAACAAAGATTAGAGCCTGCACACTGGTTCACTGCTCTACAAAATTATTTTTATTCAGGCAAAACCACCACACCAACGACAGTGTGGCAGTTGTTCCGAGTGTTTAGGTGTGTGTTTGTGGTTTTGTAGTGCAAAGTGGTGGGTGAGTTAAAATGTTGTGTGAGAAAATTTGGGTCATGTTGTTTTGGCCTGGGTGTGGTGACGTTAACATGAAGGAATCGATTCAGGTCAGAGTGAAAGTACCTGATGAAGACTTAATGTCAAAGCTTCACTGGTGTGATGTTTGGGCTGAATAAAAATAATTCTGTGGAGCATTGAATCAATGTGTGGGCTCTAATCTTTTTCCCTACTGGTATTACTCCTCAGCCTACCCACCTAATGCAAAGAAGTTTGTTTTGGGGAGGTGCACGCACTTTTCTTCATGTATTTATTCAAATCTGAGGATGATAAATCTGGTAAAGGCAAACTGGGAAAATCATAGCTTTTCCAATTCATCTAATGGAGAAGAGAAGACTAGCATGCACTGGAGAGAGTGCAGGGTAACAAATACAGTAGAAATTACTTTTCAGATTCCTTTGTTCCACCAGAGTTGATGACTTTGCATGTTATTAGAGTGTAATGTGTATTTCTAAACCTGCATAAACCTCCATGCGTTCCCTAGGCCATTTGTTGGACTCATTTGCCCGTGCAGCCCTATGGGAGTCGGGGCTGGACTACCTTCATGGTACGGGCCATGGCGTGGGCTGCTTCCTCAACGTCCACGAGGGGCCCTGTGGCATCAGCTACAAGACATTTGCAGATGAACCTTTGGAGGCTGGCATGATCGTCAGTGATGGTATGGCAAAGTTTTGATTACACAAGTGAATCTTGTTGGTAGAGGGACTCAGTGATGTCTTTTAATTAATACTCCACCTTCTATCTGACTGTAGTTTGTCACTAATCACACAACGTTTTACTCTTTACAGTTTTTCTCAGTCACTTTGGTACATTTCTCAAATTATTGACTTTTACAAAACATTAAGAGTATTTCTCAAAACAGTTCATAAAAACAGCACCACATAGTGGTTTACCATCCATTATCTGATAATATAGAAAACAGCAGACAGTTGTACATAATCATTTGCATGAATGTGCCAAAAAATTTGCAGTTTGTTAAAAACAATGAGAAATTGCTTATATGATGTGCACAAGTGAGTGGATGATGTGGAGGCTGGACAAGTAGAATTTTATTTCTGATCTGAGAAATGTATTAAAGTGACTGAGACAAACTCTAATGTGTGTACCAGGAGTACTAACTGGCATAAAGCAGACAAAATGACGTGTCTGGACTTCAGTGGTTCATGATTGCTAGTATCTGGTCAGTTCTGCGACTGAACAGAAGTCAGCAAGGCTGGACAATAACATAAACGGCCCTTCTGTATAATGCAGAGAGGTAGCCTACATATCAGCTCTTCACAGAATCTCATTAGTTCAGTACCTACAGCAGCTTCCTCTCCTCATCCATCCTGTGTTCCTCTCCCAAACCCGCTGAGAGCCCACCACTACATCTCCAAGGAGAAAGGAGCAGCGGGATGGTTAATAACAATGCATCTCGTGGCAACAGTAAAATCCTCTTCTATGTCTCTCGTTCTGTCACTCACAAATATTTTATATTTAGTGTAAACATTTCATTAGTATAAAATTACAGTTAATGTTGCTCTTCCTCCTTTTCACCTGCGTATTTGTTTATCTGTTGTATTTCAACAAGACTACGACACAGCCATAGTAAGAGATTTGTGAGTCTGTAAAGGTTGGCGCAATGGTTCTTAGAGGTACAGTAAATCCTATAGCACGCTAACATGCTGATGTGTAAGTACTGTACAGCTGAAGCTGATGGGAATGTCATTAAAGTACTGGACACATTACTCTAGTTGAAAAGTCAGTTGATTACTAAAGTTTTTAGAATTCATCTAATGGAACAAATTTCATGGCAGTCCATTCAGTGGTTGTTGAGACTTTTCACCAAAACCCAAAAAGGTCAGCCTGCTGGTGGCACTAGAGGGAAAGGGGGCAGGGGATTACCTTCCTCTGGGGAATGTGCCTGTCCAAAGATTCATCCAATAGTTGATGAAATATTTAATATTATGAGCCTCTAGCATTGTATTCTACAGGTATCCAACTGGATTTTGAGGATTTCATTGCTGTTACTGGACCATTTCAGGGACAGTTTGGGCTCAAGTGAACTGCAAGGTTTTACTAAAGTGGTTCATTTTGAGAACTAACAAGCACAACCACCTCTCCATCCAAGACTAAATTTATAACAATGGAGTTTCTCACATTTTATTTAATAATGAACTCAGCTGTCTGTGTCCTACACTCAGACCTTCATTACAAAACATTAAATATAATCAACCTTTCACTGTGTAGGAACAATGGCAACAGTTAAAATGACCTATAGTAAAACTGTGAACTATGCATTTGAACGTTTTGATAGTATCCCTTAGCTATTCCTATTACATTATGCACAACTTAGATACGGTCGTCTTTGTGGTTTGACCCTTGCCTTTCTGCCCTGCAGCGGGACTGGGTGAACGAGTATCACAGGAAGTGTCGGGAGGTGGTGGGAGCGGAGCTGGAGAGGCAGGGCAGGAAGGAGGCACTGGAGTGGCTGATCAGGGAGACCCAGCCAGTCATCTGAGGACTGACCTTTTAGCAATCTAAACCCATTGCCCAGGAGTACTGAATGATTGATTGCTCTGCAGTGATAATCATTTGTATCTTTCTTGTCTTTCTCTGTCTCACACTCGGCTTTTTTTGTAAAGCACATGGCATCAGCAGTTTTATTAAAGATCACTGAATTATCAACGAATGAGATTTTATACTACTTTGGGTTTTCAAAATAATAGTAACCTCAGTATGGTGGTCTCAGAGCAGGCTTGGTGATCCTGATTTTTGGTTATCCAGTGGGTGACACTTTCTTAAAATGAACAGCATTAATTCCGTATATAATTTTAGCACCTATCAAATTTAAGGTACCCTGTTGAGTGTTGCTTAGAGTCTGGTGTTTCTCACCAGATTACGCTGTGTGTATCCTTAAGGCCTAACAAACCAGTTTATTTAAATGCCTTTCTTAAATGTTTACAGAGTGTAAGCAGCATTTGAATATTGTAGCTGGTTGAGGTGAAGCTAGTTTTATAGTTGTTAGAGTGACAACAACCAAGATAGTGATAGTGCTCAAAAGGCTCTCTAAGAGGAGAGACGTTTCCAAACAGAATAAATTCACCTTTCTGACAAATTTCAAACCAGAAATTTCAGAAGGATTAGATTTCAGTGACAATGAATTTAAAAAATACTGCAAGTTACTGCAATTTAAATACAGTAAATGCTCAAAAATTTTACAGTGGAAATTACAGAGCAATTTATGCATTGTAGATTACCCTAGTATAAAACCGTACTGTCCAAATCACTAAATGATATTTCTGATTTGTGAGCTGAGCAAAATCATAAGTAATAATACATTTTTTACTGTATGCACAAGACGTTCCAACTTTTCAACAGGAACGAATAGTTTCATAGCAATTGGGAAAACAAATTTTAATTAGTTGTAATTGGTAGAGTTTTGGTTTTCTGGTGGGCAGAGATGATAGGTGGACGATGACAGTTGGCAAAGCTCAAAGAAGGTGGCTGGACAAGGTTTAGGTGCAGCAGGTTGGAACTACAGTTAACTGCCCAATCTGGAGGCTCCTTCTCCACCTGCATCCTGCTGGCAAAGGCTGCAGTTAGAGGCTGGGGCTGCAGCTGTTGACCAGACCCTGTCAGTGGAGGTGGAGCATGCAGGGTGCTGGCAGAGGCTATAGGTGTAGGCTGGCACCATAGCTGTCTGCTACACCCTGCTGGCGGAGGCGGAGCAAGCAAGAAGCTGGCATATTATACAGGTGGTGATTGGCGCTGTAGCTCTCTGTCACTCTTCAGGTGGAGGTGGAGCATGCAGGGTACTGGCAGAGGCTATAGGGGTAGGCTGGCACCATAGCTGTCAGCCAGACCTGCAGCTGGAGGAGGAGCCTGCAGGGTGTTGGTAGATGTTGTAGGTGGAGGCTGGGGCTGCAGGTGGAGGCGGAGTAGCAGGAGGGGGGCAGTGGAGACCACTGGCAGGGCCCTTGGTGCGGTGGGAGGCCGGGGGGTGA